TCGACGAGCAGCACGGAGCGTGGAAGTGAACGAGACCCCACTCAAAGAGAAAGATGTCTGAGAGCGAAGCGTTAAAGTAGTTGCCAGCACCGTGGACAAAAAGGCACGGCTTTTTGGCCATCTTGCAGCCGCACGACGCACTCTCAATCGTCGCAACACGGGGTGCCCCCGTCGCGGCGGTCCACACTTGCGACGCTGTCGAGAGCATGTTTGCGCTGGCCGCCGATGTCGTTGCGGAACTCACGACAATAGGGCATTCGAGCACCGTCGTCGAGTTGGCACCGACGGGGATCGTAAACTCGGGCAGCAAGGACGGGTCGGCGAGATACTCGATGCTCAAGTCAATGTCGACACCGGACGCGTGCGTCACGCGGTGGTTGGCGCCGTTGCAAAAGACAAACGACTCGCCCGCAAACGTTAGTTGCAACCAGTCGCCGTCGCATGTCGTGTCGGTGCCGACGACGGCGTCCAAGCGCGTCGCATCGGCGAGGCTGGACTGCAAGAGCTGTACTGGCGGAAGCCCAGATGTCACGCACGCCGACGAAAGCAGCGTGCCGTTGGCGGCGACGGACGACGTGTAGGCGCGGTTGTCCAAGAGGAGGTACATTTCCGTCGTCTCGGCGCCAGACAGGCTCATGTAAGCGTCAAAGCTCAGTGCCGACGTCGTACGGCGAGTGTGTGCCACGATGTAAATGTCGGTGCTCATGTGCCCGTGGAAGTCCATGCTTGGACGCTTGGCCGTCACCGTCACACGGAGGCCAGGGCTTTGCTGGATCTGCGTCACAATGTCCGCCGCATGGTTGGCAACCTTGGTTGTGTGCACGGCAATGGCGGCCACCGTGATGCAAATGGCGCCGAGGACGGCAACGGCGCCGACGACAAAGCGCCACGGAGCTGTCCGGCGGCGCGGGGCTGCCGCATCCATAAAGACAGCATCCACCGGCGACAAAATCGGCGAGCTTGTAGGACCCATGCAAGCACAATGCGCTCCGAGGCAAATTGGAAAATGAAGAAACTGGATCGGGACCGCACGTTGTGTGCGGTACGGAACCATACAATGATCGGACCAGACTGCGTCGTGCCGAATAGAGTCCTTGACGAAACCAAGCGCACTCGATTCCGAGGCCGAATCAGGGCGATGATGAGGCGCGCGAACGTCGTGGGTAGGCGCCTGTCGCGGTGTTTGCGTCTTCGATTGCACGAGTAGTAGCCACGAGTCATGTTCAAGGAAGAGTAGCTACCTACCTAGGTGCATAGGTCTTCCAGGGGCAGCCAAAGACATCTTCAACGTCTACGTCGAGTTGCGTGCGTGACGGCGCCGTGTGGTCGCTTCGGTTGGTGCCCAGACATGCGCGCGACGGCTACTCGCGAAGCATTAGTCTATCGCAAAAGGATATTCTGATTTCTTGGCCGATCAGGTAGGGATGTAGGCGGACCACAAGCACTCACACGACAAGACTAACAGTACGGGAGAGAATAATGACATACAACTGCAGACCCACTAGTATGGATGTCCACCCCACAAGTGTTATTACGGTAGTTGCGTAGCGCGCATGCGATCTCTGGTCTGTCGCGTGTTGATGGGAATAAATGCCTGCAAACCAGTTGCACGAGCTCTGTTTGATAACTTGGGGAAGCTCACATTTCACTCGTTCGCTGTCGCCTTCAATGAGCAAAAAAAACGGCGTCTAGATCCATGTACCCAGCCCATACAGCAGTGAATACGTCACTGCACGGTCATTCCAGTTTCCAAGAACAGCAATCAAGTGTACAGTCAGTAGGACCCTGCGACCTATACACCAATGGCATCGGCCAGTCTGCCATCCGAAACAAGAGATCCACAGCAAATTCAACACTTGAACAAAGCAACGGTGCTGAATCATTACTCTTACACAAACAAATCAAAATTCGCAAAACTTACAACGCGCACTCGAACCACTTTTGCGGCTTGCGGTCTGCGCCCCACCACCCATCGCCATTGCGAAACGAGTTGTCGAAATGATTGACGCTCGCGAGGTAGTTGCCACCGTCAGCGTAGTTGGTCGAGAACGAGCTGGCTTCGAAACCGACACGACAGCTCTCAAACGCCACCACACCGTCGTTCATGTCGCCGTGCTTTGTCAGCGTACTCACAAGATCCATGACCGGACCAAAGATCGTTGTGAGGCCAAATGAGTCGCTGCCACACATGAGCACCGACGCGTACTGCTTGCGGACAGCCTGTGCCGCGAGAAACTTGGCTTGGATCGCCGTCGACACGGTCTTCTCGTGCTTGAGCTTGAGGAAGGCGTCCGTGATCGGGCAGAGTGTCGCGATCTCCAAGAGACCCTGGAGCGGGAGGTTCCAACCACCTTGTTGACACTTTTGTTCGAGCAGGTTGCCCGACAAGCTGCCTTGCATCGGACCCGCGATCGACACCCACGTAACCTTGTTGGAGAGGTTGCACTTGCCCTTGGCGACGGCGCTGCCGGTGATAAGGTTAGCCATCGAATGCGTCACGAGGATGAGGTCTTCAATGGTTTTGGTTGTCGACTTGCTCACACTGAGCGCGGCATCGCAGAATTCGTTCTGGATGTCGTCGTTGTCCCAGCCGCGCGTCCACGTCTGCAGATGCACAAATTTGGTCGACGAACAGCACGGCGCATGGTCTTGGATAGACCCCCAGTAGAAAGCCCACGAGTTGGTCATTGGGCGAACGAACGGGTTGCCAACGCCATGGACAAACAGGCACGGCTTCATCTTCTCGAGCGAGCACCCGCACGACGACGACCCGAGACCGAGCACCCGCGGCACACCCGTCGCCGCCTTCCAGATCGACGTCGACGTCTGCAACAACGTCTGACCCGACGCCGCGGCCACCGACGGCACCAGCACCGGACAGTCCA